GGATTACAAAAAAAGCGATCAAATATTACAAAAAAAATCTATCATGGATTACAAAAAAAAAAAAAAAATAAAAAATAAAAATAAAAATAAAAAAAATAAAAAAAAATTCCGTACGGACTCGCCGATTCATTGTTCGGACTAGTCGATTCCGTACAGTGAATCGGCGATTCACTGTACAGAATCGTCCGATTCTCTCTAGAACCGGACGATTTCCGAATTTTTAGGCGATCCGGTCCCGTTTTCACGATTTCCGAGTCGAACCGGGCGAGTCCGGTTCGACTCGACGTTTTTTAAAACACTGGTATGGACCATCTTCTCATTGAGGCGCATCTATAAAAATATTAAAAATAATTTTCGATAAAATATAATGATCAAAATACCCTTTAAAAATTTTAAGGATATTATGGTCAATTTATTTTATTAGAAATATTTTTTTATAGTGTGAGTTTAATAGAAAATTGGACGTTCAAAATTTGGTATCAAAATAGTTTATAAAAAAATAATTAAAAATAAAATAGTGTAGAGATGTGATATATTGTGATGGGTAATTTTAGCCCTTCATTCAAAATGTACGGATGGATATGGGAAGTATATAAGTTTTTTTTGTTATAGGGAAGCATAGAAAAGCTTGCCCTTCGATTCTATGCATTTTCTTTGGGCACGTATTTATGCTCCCATGAGAACACACTGTGCATCAACTCCATCAGTTTGGTAGATTTTTTTACCATGAATTTTTTGGGAACCACTTTAGAATCAATATTTGCAATGTTATCACATTTGAGATGTTACAGTTTTGTTTTGTATATTGGAACCAATGATGTGAAATGGATTTGTTTTTAAGAGATTAGCTATATTAACATTATCTATTATGAGGGAGACTAAATTTGAATCATGAAATACTAAAGAAATTTGGGAACATTACAAAAATCCCTCGACTCAACTTTTTTTACAACTTCCTTCAACCAATTTTTTCATCACAATTTTTATTAAAAATTAGAGAAAATTGCATACATATCTGTATATTTTACGTTATTATGGATGTACCAAAAAATTTATGTTATTATATGTCTGTCTCTTTTTTACCTTTCATATCGTAATTTTTTTAAAAAGATGATTTTACCCTTTTTTAGGGTGTTCAACATCCAAATTTAAAGGTTTTTCAGATGTTCAACATCTGAAAATAGTCTGAAAGTTTAACGTTTACATTCCACATGTACATTTTCGGATGTTCAACATCCGAAAATATGACTGCGAACGTTAAACTTTGGCCTATTTTCGGATGTTAAACATCCGAAAAACCCTTCAATTCAACTGTTGAACACCTGAAAAAAGGTAAATTTGTCATTTTAAAAAAATTGTGTTATGAAAGATAAAAAACAGACAGACACGTAATAATAAAAACTTTTCAGTACATCCATAATAACGCAAAATATAACGGATAAATGTATAATTTTCCCTAAAAATTAACTTTTATAGCAAGTCCCTCCAATAAAAAAAGCCATAGTTTGGAAGACAAAAGTAGCCTTGCCTGTATATGAAGGTGCCACATTCCCGTAGATGCTCAATCGCCAAAGACAGCTCAGTACATATTACTGCCTGACCAAAACCCAACTACATTACTGCCGAATTGCACCAACAAATTGTCGAACCGCATGCAACTTATGCCGGACTGAGGCATCATAGCGTCGAACCAACAAAATTGTCGGACCACAACAACAATATGCCAATTTGCATTTACAAGTGCTGGAACGAGGCCTCGTAACTACCAAACCGCAGCAACAATCTACTGTGTTGCATTTACAAGTGTCGCACCGACGATATTCAACGACCAAGGGGAGAGCATTTTAATCCAAAAAATTACGACTTTTTCACTTGAGTATTTGTAATAAAAGTTAGTTTTGGGGGAAAAGTTACGATAAAAAAACTGATTAGAGGAAGTTGTAAAGAAAATTGAGTCAAGGGAGGCTTTTTGAAGTTTCCCCAATAACTTTTTGGTTGGCGGAGCCGGGGAGGCCTAGGCTTTATGAAAACAAAACAAAGCCTCACCTCAAATCCATGTTTGAAAAGCACTTTGGGCAACTAAAATCTCTATGCTAGCTCTAAAATCAATTTCCGACATTGACAATAAAATTTGAAACTCAAAAAAATGTGCAGACCTTGTGGATCCATGAACACTTATTTTTAGGGTGTTTTTAGGGTGAAATGGACAACCTAGATAATTTGTTAAAATATACAGAGATTAAACTCCTAATTCTTTTTAACAACCATACTATTCTAGCATGGATGATCGAAATTAAAGTTTTCCAATGCTTGAATTCCAATTTTTTATGAGTTGTGAAGTGCAGCTTTACAAGTGTAGCCCCATCAAACAATTTTCTTTTAGAAAAAAGATGTGTACTATGAGACTATTTCCCATTGTTTCAAGGTCAATCAATCCTATTTATTAGATCTTATTTATTAGATGTCAAATTGGATGGCTTAAACATCACACAATTCAAAAAATTCTTTTTGAACATTGAGCCGTCAATGACACAATTACATTATTTAAAATCCGACAAACAAGAACAATTGTAACCTCCTTCAACTAAGACCATTTACTCATTTGCATATTTCCCTAAAGAAAAGCCCTACTTCAAAAGCACCTCATGAAAAAATTAATGCCAAAAGTGCCCTCAATTTCTAGGAAGTGGGCTCTACAGTTGATGAATGAATATACAATTTTGCCCCTTGCTCCAAAATCACGCCGTCCTTTGTGCCCTTAACCTCGATAGAAAAATATTCTTGTTCCCACCAATATAAGGACACAATTCATGTCTCATATTGAAGCGTAATGACTATAATACCCTGATTAGAGCCCCCAAATTCAAAATCCCAAGAACTACTCATAATCCATTGTCATAATATTTTAAACATGAATGATTTATTCTCTTAAAAAAAGGGTGTTACACATGTTGCATATTGAAGCATAATGACTATAATACCCTGATTAAAGCCCCCAAATTCAAAATCCTACGAACTACTCATAATGCGTTGTCATAATATTTTAAACATGAATGATTTATTCTCTTAAAAAAAGGGAGAAAGTAACACCTTTTTTTTAAAAAAAAAAATTGAGCCGTGCTTATTGAACTGGTATTTTGCATGGGCATGTCTAAGACGCCCAAGTGTTTAAGCCACGAGCATGTTTTACATTTATACTTGTAGTTCATCAGTTTCAGATTGCAGAGGCTCAAAAAGAGAATCCACTTCACTTAGATCGACATCCTCTAAACGAGCAGGGTTCCACTTTGGATTCTGCAAAATCATAGAAAGAACCAGCTAAAAACCAAACTTTATGTTATATTACCTTTGCCTGAATAAGTGTTTCGCACGTCATTAACACTCTAGAAGTCAGTTAGAGCAGCTATTTCCAAAAAAATTTCAATCAATACTAGCAGTCTGTTTCTTTCTTTTTTTTCTTTATATTTTTCTCTTTAAAAGAAAATGTGCTCGTTCATGTTCAAGAAGCATCCCATTTTCTAAACTACCTTCTATATTCTCTAAACTACCTTCTATTTTCTAAACTACCTTCTATTTTCTCAAAACTACCATTCATGACAGTATTGCTACTAGTTCTTCTTTTTCTCAAGCCTTCAGCTATTTATTTTTTTTTCCCCATTCGACATTTTATATTAGCTTCATTCCTGCATGTGCATTCATCGGTAGCAGTACTTCTGAAAAAATAACAGCAATCCAAGAAAACTAAGTTATGGGAACTGAAATGTAAGAAACCTGATCCTTGTCCACAAGAACTGCTCGAACACCTTCAGTGAAATCATTCCGAAGGGAGGACCTGACTGCAATCCTATATTCAGTCTTCATCACACCAGGTAACTGGACAAGCACAAATTTCCAATGGACATGAGTAAGCAATAGATCTTGATGATTGAACTTTCCCACTCTAGTGTGCGATATAAGAAAGATAACACAAGATGTCTTACCTTGGAATCACAAAATAAAGCAAAAGAAACCATATCTACCAAATAAATAAAGAAATCAAACAAAACCACAATGGGAGACGCCAAATTTTGCCTTTGATAGATGATGTTCATGGTTCCCGTGTGAAGATGCAACTTCTGAGAAATGTTTTGCCGTCACACAAAGTGAAAAGGGTGCACCTTTTCCCAATCCAAGAAGTGCATCACTAGCCCATTCTTTCACTGCATGGTAAATCGCACAACAATGCAAGCATATCAACTCAATCTCTTTTTATTGCCTTTTACTTAACAAAAAGAGGACAGTTTATCAAAAATGCATGCTGAATAGGACAAATAATTGTAAGTCAACTGCAGCCAATAATTTTTTAAGTCTTCAGATAAAAGGAACAAAAAAAGGGTGAAAAGAAAGGGATTAATCTGGAATTACAGATGTTGAAAACTGATTAGTCAGGATCCATCAAGATGATGATGATGATGTTGTTGTTGTTAACTTCAACAAGAGTTCTATAGACTTCAGATTATGGGTGTGATATGACCGAGTTGGCTGTCTCCTTCTTTTGCTAGGCTATCAGGCCTTGACTCTCTCCAAATGTGTTTAGTCAGCCCTGTGATATTAGAGGTTCTATCTAAAATCTCAGAGAAGGTTCCAACAGGTCTTGTAGAGTGGTCTTTCTGTTCCTTTTTCCCATAGAGTGACATTAGACGAATCCCCTTCCACTACCAAAGAATCCCAACTTAGATCATGCAATCAAAGGCCTGTTTTTCGAGCATTCGCTTCAGCTTCAGTGGCATCTACGCAGCCAATACATACATAAAATGATAGCAGTCCTTCGCCTTATCATTGTGAAAGACACTACAAACACCTGAGGGGCCTGGGTTGCCTCTAGATCATCAAATTTGAGCTGGATGGTACCACGGGTGGATCTCAAACTCCAGAATATTGAGTTTTACAGGTAATCCTCCAGGCAACGGGTGCCACTGATTGAAGAGTGCCCGACCCCTGAATTCCTTACTAGTAGTGGACCATGATGCTGTAACTATTCTGATCTTGTTGATTATTTGCTGGGTTTCTGACTGTATCCCTTTGAAAGAGTGGCTGCTGCACAGAAGTCATAGATTCCATAAAATTTGCAGTATATACAGTTCTCCACAGCAACTGTCCAGATTTGGGTATGGGTGGTATACCATTGATCAAGTATCCTTCAACTGAGGATGGGATAACCCATGAAAAGCCAAATAGGTAGATAAAGGAATGCCCAATTGCGGTGCTTACCTTGCAATGGACCATGAGATGAGGGACAGATTTTTTCATTTTATTTTATTTTTAGTTTTTTGGGGGAAACTGTTAACATTTGGTATTAAGAGAAAAATATTACAGGAAACTAGATACAAGCTAGGCGCTCGATACAAAGAGTACAGTTAGCTCCAAAAAATGCTATACATCCAAAAAATAACTGGACACTAGGTACATCTAAATGGTGATGGGCACCGGAAGGACAAAAAGGTGCTCAAAAAGGTTCCCTGTGCGTATTCTCACGTAGCTCCTTTAGCAAGGGCATCTGCTGTCAAGTTGGCCTCACACCAAGTATGTTTCCCTGAGACAAACATAGGCCTGCAAATATAAAATATTTCATTAAAAATGTGTCTAATCTTCAAGGGCAAGGTGAGGATCCTGAGACCCATGCGATACCGTTTTTGGAGTCCCCTCTATAGCCTAACTGGATGCCAACCAGGGTTGAAGTTCCTTAGACCTTTGAGAAGCACAAGAGCCTCCACTGTGTTGGAATCTGCATGCCCTATGAACTTCGAGAAAGAAAAAAGAGTGCGAGCATCCTTCTCTAATAATGCCCTCTATGCCCATTGGTCCCGGGTTGCCCAAAGAGCAGCCATCAAAATTTAGTTTGGATGGGCCAAGTTCATGTGGTCTCCAAAGGGAAGTATGATGGGTGAAGGTGGGCCTTAAGTATAACAAGGTTTGCCATTCCTGGGTGGAAATCCAAGCAAGAGAAGTGCCTGAAGTACTTGTGATTTCTAGCCCAGAAGATTACCAACACTCTAACCCAATCTTTCAAGGCCTCCAGCAGATGCCCTCTTGCCGCAAAAAGTCCTGTTATTCCTCTCCATCCAAATTACCTACAATGTGGCTACCACAGAGGCCTTCCAAAGAAGGATGCCCAATTTAGACCATGGAAGAGGGTAGAGGGGGAGCTGAAGAGGTGCGGGACTGATCTCAGAGTCACCCATGACCAGTTGAAAAGCTGGATTAATCCCCCCACAGTCCAGGCCAGGTCGCAGTGAATGAAGAGGTGGGCGTTGGTTACTTCCTCCGCTGTGCATGTCACGCATCTGTTAGGGATCGGCAGTCACCTTTTCTAGAGCTGTCCACTGTTAGAGCTCTTTCGGACAAGGCAATCCAATTGAATATGTGAACTTTTGGGGAAATAATGGGGAGACAGGCCTTGGAGACGATGGAAGGGGAAGAGCTGGGAAGGTTAGTGGAATTTGGAGTATATGGTAGAGGGAGGAAACCAAAAAATGGCCGGAGACCAAATGATACAATCCTCCCCATGGGAAGGAAGGAAGATTAATTGAAAAAGGGAGGAAAGAATCAAGAAGTCAGCCATTTCGTGATCTGCAAGAGGCCTCCTAAAATTGGGGTTCCAACTTCTAGAGGAGCCCAAGGGATCAAAGTGTTCAGTCACAGTGGCCTCACCCGTTACTGGCTAGGAGGTAAAGGTTGGTGAACCGGTCCTTCAAGGTAGAGTTGCCTATCCATAGGTCGGACCAAACTTTGACCCTGTTGCTCTGCTGAGGACGGAACCGGAAATTAGCTTTGAAGAGGTTGTAACAGCAGAGGAGACATCTCCATACTCCTGAGGATCTACTGTTAGCCCTACAACTAGACAGCAACCTAGAAGTATCACAACAGTACTTGTGGCGAAAGCTCACTTGCCACAGTTGATTCTCTCAGGTGAGTAGGCGCCACCACCACTTTTCAAGGAGATCCGTATTGTTTCTTGTGAGGATACGGATGCCTAAGCCACCGAGATGTCTAGGCTGGCAAACTCTGTCCTAGGAGAAGAGGTGAAACTTTCTGCTACCCCCCTCGCCCGACAGCCCCAACCAGAGAAAGTATCTCATTAGCTGCTCGAGATGAGCCATGACTGAAGCTGGCATATGGGAAAGGGAATATCTGAAAGATGTAGGAAGTTCAAGAGGTTGCCTTGATGAGCATGATTCTACCCACCGAGGAAGGAACTCCCCTTCCATCCAGCGAGTATCCACTCGAATTTATCGATGATATGCCCCCACTGCCATTGTTTAAGCTGACCAAGGCCAAGTGGCAAGCCTAAGTAGGATGATGGCAGATTGTCGACTTTGCATCTCCCTTGCTCAGCGAGGGATTGATGGCTTCCGCTTTGACATGCCAATCATCTTGGACTTGGCCATGTTCACCCTGAACCCCAAAGACAACTCGAAGCATTTGAGAAATAGGAGCAAGGAGTCAATCTGCTGAGTGGTCACTCTACAAAAGCGGAGGGTGTCGTCGGTGTATCGGAGGTTGAAATTTCCAGGCCTTGATTCTCAATTTAGAACCCTTCCAGGAGGCCATGTTGGTACAATCTAGTTATGGTCTACTAAAGACTTCGGCTAATACCACATTCAAAATGTATGTTAACTAAGATCCTCTTCCCTCTCTGCACATTTAAACCCTAACCCTATTCTTCACTCTCTCTCATACTTCGTCTCCCTGCTTTCCCTCACGCCATCTCGGCACTGTCCCTTCCCTCTCCTGACCTCTTTGCACATTGGGAGCAAGCAGAAGCCCTAACCTCGTCCCTCCCCTCGCTGAAGAAATCAAGCCAAGGAAGACCAAGCGCGAAGGAAGCAGCAAGAACGGGCCCTATCTCAATTAGGTTCCTCTTTAGTAGACGAATAAAGCCTACACAAGGAAATGGTTGCTAGAGAAAAGGATGAGAACTACGAGCTCAGGTAAACCAGCGTCTGGTAGCCTCGCTTACAGAAGCTAGGAACAAGGAAACCACACCTCTTTCTTCAGAGGAACAAAAAGGATTCCTGCACCTCAGCTGGGAACAGATCTACAAGCTCTACCCCTCTCCTCCTTCTGCTGATTGCTTTTCTCCTGCACCCTCACGTTCGTCTCCTGTGGAAGAATTTCTGCCGGTTTCTTTCTTTCCCCATAAATGATAACCTTTCTTAGCCAGGTCCTCCCCAAGGCAGCACTAAACCCTCTTCTTTCAGGGAGGTCGTTGCCTCCTCCCCTGCTTCTCCCCCTCCTTCAGCTCCATCAGCCATCCCTAATAGCTTTTCGCAGGAGGCGGTGGCTCTGACCCCCCAGCCTCCCTGCATCATTACCTCGCCGGAAGTGACAGAACTTCGCAAGCAGGAGCTCCAAGTGTCATTTATAGAGAAATTTGTCCCGTCATGACAACGTTAGAGGCATTGAGAAGTGGGCAAAAACCCTTTGGGGTGACCCCAATATCACGTGCCGAAATATTTCGGGGGGGGGGGGGGGACTTTCTCTTGCCCATCTCCTGACCTGGCCAAGCATATTATCCAGGATCCCTCGCCTAAATAGTTCAAAGGGGCCTCTTGCCTCCTCAGGCCTTGGACACCGGAGGAAGGCTCTTTTAAGCAACAACTGATGTGGTTGACTCTAGACTTCATTCCCCTACACGCTTGGTCCCCATCCACCTTCAAGAAACTAGCTGCAACCTGTGGTACCCTGGTTTCCATCCTCTGGAAATCGATCGAAACCTTACCTTTGGGCTCTATCCGCCTTTTAGTGGAAGCTCTCGATCCCCATGTCATTCCTAAGTCCATCTGGTTACAGGTGGAAGATCGCTTCTTCCCCGTCTCTATCTGTTGGTAGTTCGCCTCGCCACCCTCCTGTCACTTTCTCTGGAACACCCCTTGTCCCTCCCCTGTCTGTAAAGACTCCAGAGGTTGGTCGACGGTCTAACGGAAAATTGTCGTCGCCGGCGGAGAAACTTGAAGCCACAAATCCCTTCGACCCATCCGCGGCCACAACCTTACGTCTACTCGTTTCGATTTTCCAATGATGGTATCGCAGCCCCCTCTCTCCTTCTGCCGACTTCCTCTCCGAAGTCAGTAGCTGTTGACGTCTCCCCTTGCCTCCCCTCGGTTGGCGATAGTCAACGGCCATCCCCTGCCAGCTATCAAACTTCCTCGAGCCTTGA